CGCCGATATAAGCCAAGTAGTTGCCACACCTGGCAAGTATATGACTTCATTTTTACATTAAAGAAAATAACAGAATCACAGGAAACAGCAAAATGAAGCCAAATCCTGGGATATTATTATCTAAATGCAGTTGTGGTCGAGACTCAGGAGCTAAGAAGCATGGTGAAGGGTTGCCCTTCTGCACCAGGACAGAGAGACTGGCAGTGAGAGGGGAGTGTTCTTTTTTTTTTTTTTTAATTCTTTTATTAGTTCAAATTAGGAACAAGCTTGCTTCACATGTCAATCTCTTCTCTCTCTCCCTCCCCTCCCCATCAACATCCCACCTGCCCCTAGCCATCCCCCCTCCACTCCCCAGGCAGGGTAAGGCCCTCAAAAGGGGCTCCCCAAAGTCTACCACATTGTCCTGGGCCAGGCCTAGGCCCTTCGAGGGGAGTGTTCTTAGAGGAGCTGGGCAAGGAAGGGAGGTCTAGGACATCTGGTCTGATTCCAAACCATGTGTTAGAATATCCAGACAAAGAAGAAAGCAGAAGAGGGTCAAGGGAAACCATAAGAAAGACACACAGGAGGAGAATAAGAGGACAGGGAAATGTCATGATTTTGGTGTAGCTAGGGCACAGAGTTTGAAGAGTAAAAGAGAAGAGAATGATGAGGGAGAAAGGACCAGACTATAGGAAAATCACATCCAGGGTAAGGAGTTTGGAACAACAACTTCTTCTTCTTCTTCTTCTTCTTCTTCTTCTTCTTCTTCTTCTTCTTCTTCTTCTTCTTCTTCTTCTTCTAGGTCAAGGGCTTTAATTAAAAGCAAATGGTCATGGTAATGCAGCAATTAAGGTAGACCAGTTGGTGCACATTCTGTTATAGAAGGGGGTTACTGGAAGCATGACTCCTCTGTATGGTAGCTGCAATTAGCTCTTGCTAATTACTGAGGAGAAGAAATGACCAGGTGTGGCATGCCTTCCAATTTTTCCAGGCATCCTGGTTAGACTTTTTTTTTTCCCGACTTGACACAGGCAAGAAACATAAATTGAGAAAATGCTTCCATCAGACTGGCCAGTAGGCAAGCTCTGGTGTAGTTTCTTGGTTAATGATTGACAAGGGATGGTTCTGCTCACTGTGGGTGGGGGTTAGTAAGAAAGCAAACTGTGCCAAGCAACAGGAGCAAAGCAAAAAAGCAGCATTCCTGTATGGTCTTTGCTTCAGTTCCTGCCTCCAGGTTCCCATCTTGAGTTCCTGCTCTGACTTCCCTTCACGATGGACTGCAACTGGAACTGGAAATAAACCTCCTTGTCACTAAACTGTGTTTGGACAGTCTTTATCATAGCAATAGAAAGGAACCCAAGATAGAGGGAAGCTAAATTCCAGATCACTGATGGAGGTTTATTCAAAAACAAAACAAAACAAAACAAACAAAACAAAAAACCCAGGTGCTAAATGAAAATACCTATAGATCAAAGATGGCTGTGAATCGCAGTTGTGACATTGTCTCCAGTGGAGCATTGCCACTGAGAGGTGAAAAGACGTACTGTCACAGAGGCCTTCCTCGAATGTCATGGAGAATGACTGGAGAGGAAGCGTGGAAGCAGGAGGGTGAGAATCGTCCAGGCACAGATACGATTGTCTTTTGAAGGTGGTAATTTTTAAAAAATAAATTATTTGGAGTCAAGTCTCACAAATAAACTTAACACTGGAGCTGGAAGCCAACCAGGTTTATATAAAAAAAAAATTAAGCTGAACCAGGAGTGGTGGCACACACCTGTAATCCCAGCCCTTGGGAGCAACAGAAGGGTCAGGAGAGGCCAGCCTGGGCTGAGATCCCATTTCAAACAGGCAAATACACAAACAAGGAAACAGACAAAACTTAGGAATATAAAGTCAAAGAAGATAATACTTCAGATGGCTCACAAGTGGTAGGGAAGTCACTATTAATGAGAAGGTACACAGTGTATTATGGTTGTCATACTTTCGGGCAGACTTAGAGTTTGGCATGGAAATGACCTTTCATGGGAAAACACTGTATTTAGAACTAGGTCTTCTTCGCTCCTTTCCCCCCACCCCAACCCGAGAGACAGAGTTTCTCTGTGTAGCTTTGGCTGTCTTCAAACTCATAGAGATCTGCCTGCCTCTGTCTCCCAAGTGCTGGGATTAAACGTATGCGCCACCACAGCCCGGCCCCAGAACTAGGTTTTGAAATTGTTTTTAAAGACGCCTTTCAACCATTCATCCTATTTCCTGCCTTGGATTGTGTGTGTGCTTCCAGATGCTTTCCCAGCCTCATCGAGATGTCTGGGATAGGCTTCAGGCATCTGCTTCAGTTTCCAGGCTAACTGCTTCGTCATGAGGGCATCCCCCACATGAGTCCCCTCATTTCAATTTTCACTTATATTATTGGCTGTATTTGTCCTCGTCTACTAGACAGTTAACACTTCTGAGGGCAAAAATACTCAATTATCTTCGCATCCCAACACTTCTGCAACATTCTTAAAGAATACTGACACAGTAAACAGCTAATGAATGGCAGCTCAAAGAAAAAACTGTCTCATTACTTAATAACATACCGTGCTTAGAAAAATTCAGCAAGCATGCCTTGGACCTAGCAAAGGCATTTACTTACAGCAGTACCTAAAAGACTTCGCTTGGGCAGGCCCGAGGTCAGCATTACACAGAGGTTCCACATTTAGAGGCATGCAAACAGCAGTATCAGCCTAGCTTGTTCCAATATTATATAAATGCTATGTGTCAGCAGCTGTAAGGCATGTAAAGCATGTGCACTCCAATTCCATGGACAAGTGCTCATTGCTTTTAAGAATTGATCTTGTCTATTAGCTGACCAAATTCCTGACTCACTCCACCATATAACTCAGAGGCCACACTATCCAGGAGTCTAAAGGACAGTCACACTGTTCATTCCTATGACAGCCTGGTGATGGTTACTCAACAGCAAGTACACCTGAAAAGACAGTACTCATCACTAACCCAGGGTAATTAATCCTCGCCAGAAGCACTCAGCTTAATGAATTCAGATAGCAAGGTTCTTTACTACTGATAATGACAGAAAAAAGGTATTAGGCATGCAAACCAGCACTGTGCACCAGGTTCAGACAGGATGGGCTGATTAGGCTGTGGAGTGGAAAGAAAACCAAATTTGATTGCTTATCTTAATAGTTACTCATAAAGAACAACCTGTATCGTCAGGTTCTGTTTTGGAAATAGAAGCCCCATTAAAAGTTGCAGAAGATGATACAATACAACAAGAGCAACTGTAAGGAATACCTGGAGAAGGAGGAATGAAGTGTCCATGCAGGCTATTGTGCACTGAAAAGGTTTGTAGGTTTCATGACATGGCTTTTAAAGTTTGGTGCATAAAAAACATCTTTAGAAATTCTGACTTTTCCTCTTTTTTTTTTTAATGAAACAAAATATCCAATGGCAGCTTTTACACAGAAGAGAAATTAAAAAAAAAAATCTAAACAAACCAAACCAAAGAAGGAGCGAGGAAGAGAAAGTCATGGAAACTATCAAGAACAACTGGGTAGCTATTCTGAATGATTGTTCCCGACACTCACGGAAAGGGACTTGTTTTTGACAAATACACTGTGGGAATACTTAGGCAAACATCCATTAACTTAAAAAAGTTACCAACCCCCTCAGAGGTTGACTGATCTGCTACTAACGACTTAAAGCATTTTCACTGAGCAAGGCACAGACTCTGGCTCAACAGCCCACTCCTGGGCAAATGGAGAGGCCCCTTCCCCTACAGCAGCATTGAATTTCTGAGGTCATTTGATCTTCAGACAGAAGCCCTGACAGTAAAAAGAAATCAACTACAGTGATAAGATTCTGTTCTTTAAAACCTGTTTTTAAAACCAGCAGCAAAATGTACTTCTGGGTTTAAAGTAGACAGTGTCCATTCTATTTAACAAAAGCAACAGGATTCATTTAAAAGCCAGGAATAAGGAAGCAGCAGTGGCTAGTAGACCCTGCTTACACTCATTCTACTGCTTAATCTTTTGTGGCTGCCATGTTGTGCTGGTATTCTGAGCCAGCACAGGGAAAATTTGATAATATCAGTGATAGAACAGAATACAAGCTAAAACTTCATCAGCTCATAAAAATAACAAAATTGGTACCACATCTGCTAGAGAGAACAGCTAGAATAGTTTGAGGAAGGCAGCTACAGGAATCAGGATGCCATAAAACTTAAGTACAAGCCTGAAAACCCTTCTTCAAAAATGCATGAGAATGGCTGTGAGACAATGCCTTGGATGACACAGTACATGGGACTTAAGTCTGGCCAGCTGCTACATGTCATAAGTAAAACACCACACCTCTCAGATCTTTCTGTTTTCTGGACCCCGCACGTTTGAACTGCTACACAAGTGCTTAGCAGCAGCTATCAGCTATTAGACACCACAGTGCTCTCCCAGCTCCCTGGCTTTGCCTTCTGCGGTTGCTGTGAAACTATGCCTTTTTTCCTGGTCCCTCAGCATCTCAGTAAAGGACACCCAGAAGCATCCTCATTCTCTGCCAATGGAGAGGGGCCGTTTTTTTTTTTTCCTTCTTCTTCCCCACTTTACCCAATCCATCGTTTTTGCAGAAAAGATCATTTCATTAAAGTAAATGAAAAGGATCTGATGTGCCTACAGGAAGGTGAAGGTATTGTTCCTTTAAACCCCTCAAAGTCAAATTTCTTTCCCTGGATGAGGTCAGAGTCACTGGCTCCCGTTTAAATGAAGGAGTGGACTTTAAAGACCTTCATATTAGGAACACTTTGGGTTTTAAAAAGCAGCATATCTGAAATCGACTAGACCTGCAAAAAATTATTCCCAATTCATCATCCTCTACTTTAAGGGGTGTGTAAACATGACCGGCAAGCTGTGTTAGGTCATGAGTACTCCGAGAAGCAGGCGCCGTGAGTACAGTTTGGAACCTGTGCTATAAGAAGAGTAAGAAACAGTGCTGGATCCGGCTGGCTACAACCAAAGGGGAGGGCTAATGCATACCTTTGGGTCTTCTGGAATTTCCATTCTTTTGCTGCTCATCTTCCTCATTAATGGTGAATAAACCAAGGGGAATTGGACTTGCATGGGTCTTCTTCAGTCTCTCTTGTCGGATCGCTGTAGCTGATCCAGGCATACCGCTGCTACTTGTTCAACAATTATATTAAAAATATATGCTTATGTAATTGCAGCTCCCAGGAAGCTGCTAGCTCCTAAGCTGCCGGTTCATTTGAGCACTTGTAATAGATCCCCTATGGGTAAACAGTGCGCAAACAGCTGACAGACACTACCAGCTACTTGGCAACTGAGGCCCTGCAGCTCCCCCTCACCTAGCAGCAGCCCCCTCCTACTTACTCCCCCCAGTAGGCACATGCGCTGGTGAGTAAACACTCTCACACATGCACACACTCGAGTGCGCGCGCACACACACACCCATGCCAGGACAACTCTATATAGGCGTGCAGGTTCAGATGCCTCCTTCCGACTGCCTAACCTGTTCAATCAGATCCCAGCCTGGCCTTCCTTCTGTGGCACTTTCCCCAGTCTTCTCTTGCTACACCACACAGCAAAACATTCCGCTTACAGCAGAGGGCAAAAGATGACACACTGCCCGCTGCGAACTGTTGCCCTGACAACCCTAACATAGGCTAATCAAGGAAGGCAGGGAGCAGCTCCTTCTCCAGCTGCCCTAGCATGCAGTGTCCTCGGAACTCAGCAGCAGAGGTTTGGTTGCAGCGGGAGGCCACTATGCAGTTCCCTCTTCCTCTGGGTGGCAGCGCAGAGCGGCAGGATGGGTGGAGAAGGAGAAACAGAGTTTTGCCGGCACAAGCAAGAGCCAATTCTTCAGTAAGGAGCATGGAGCTCTCTTTCTATCCCTAGCTAGGTGGTCTATTATAATAAACAGAGGAGCACATGGCTGGCATGCTGGAACTGCCTCACTCTCTTGACATTCATAACCTCCTGTGTCTGTAGAGGCGTTGCCTTGGTGGCATCTGTCGGGATGTACATTGCTTTGCATTCATTTTCAAGATGTTTTCAACTCCACTATAAACTCTCTCAAGATATGCTGTTTTTATAAATAATTTATTATTTTATGTGCATTGGTGTTTTGCTTGCACACAAGTGTCAGATCCCCTAGAAATGGAGTTACAGACAGTTGTGAGCTGCTGTGTATGTGCTGGAAATTGACCCCGGGTCCTCTGGAAGAGCAGCCAGTGCTCTTAACTGCCAAGCCATCTCTTCAGCCCCAAGATAATGCTGTTTTTATTCACCTTATTCATGAGGTCAACCAGTACCGCATCTCTGAGACCCCACTAGAAGACCAGAAATTGGAGACTGTACCCCTTCCCACTAAAAAACACAGAATGGAATATTCCCTCTGCAGGCCAAGTCTAAAGGGCAGGAACAAAGCCAGCAAAGAGGGGAGTCCCAGTTGCCTCAATTACATTGCACCCCAGCACATTCCTATCCCAATGCCCCAGCAGCACTGCTGAGAGGGTCTCAACACTAGTCATAATTTCCACTCTTTTGGACTATTCTCTCAAAAGCATACAGCAGTATGTACGATTTGTTTTCTTCTGAAATAAGTTTTTTTTTTCATTTTAAGACTCTCCATTTTTAGACTGCTTAAAATTTGTACTGTATAAAAAACTAATAAACAATTTTTATGACAAAAATAAAATTTCAAAAATGCCAACTGCTAAATTAATGAAAAAAGAACTGTTTTTTCTTTTGCATTTTAATCAAAATCAAATCTATCTAGAAAGTCAGAAGCAATCCTTCTTCCCTTAAACTACTCTTGCAAATTACCTCAGTGCTTAAAAACTCACATTATCATAGATTCTAAGGCAAACAACCTGTTCTGTGAAACAAACTTTGCATATGGGACTGCACTCCTAAGTGTCCCAGTTTCTCTGGACAGCTGGGATGATGACTCCACTTACTTTATGGGGTTGAGGGTAAAGACTTAATGAATATAGTACTAGCAATAAGAAGTGGTTTATAAGTATCAGCTCCTATATTTTATAACATACCCACTGTAACTAGTTGTTTTTATTTACTTGCATTGCCCTGCCTGTGGCTGGGTATAATGGTTAGCAAATTCCACTGAAATGAATAAATCCTCAAAAAATGTTTCCCTCCAAAGGCTTGGGGATTCAGTTATGTTAATGCACATTTAGATCTAAACTGGTGGCTTGAAAAAATGCAATGGGAAATCAGATTGACCTATGTGCTATAACTCTAGACAAGAGTAGAAGAAGGTGGTTCCATTACTTTCAAGGTCACTTCACAAGGCCTCAAATGCTTAACAGGGATGAAGGGTAACAGCAAAGCAGAAGCCACCTGGAGTTTAATTTGACCACATAAGACAACAAATTTCACCAAGAAGTCCCATGTGCTGGAGGTACCCAGGAAGAGGCTACAGAACACAGGATCCCATAGAAGACCAGACCCAAGTCATTACCCACCATGCTCAACTGAGTAGTAGTTTTCCTTTTAGTGTCCACGTCAGGGGGCTATTGTCCAGTGACAAACACTGGATTCTTCACTCTCTCCAGCCTGAGAGATCTTGAAATCTGATTTGTATCAATGGGTGAAAATCACCCAAGTGAAGACTTCTGTTTTCTTTTAAAACTCTTACGCTACTCTTGACAACCTTTATCGGAAAAAAATGAAAGACTGACTGAGGAGACCAAAAGTCACCTCCAAACAAACCGTGAGTGCAAGGCAAGGGACAAAGCAGGGGCCCACTGACTGGGAACTTGCTCAGCCTTATCACAGCAGATGTTAGGGTCATTGGAAATGTCACTGTGGTTAGTCACCACAATGTGAAGAGGAGCTACTGCCACCTGGCTAACAGGAAATGGGCACAGAGAGGCCAAAGTCAAACAGCCAGCTGGGTGGTCACTGAGTCAGGATTAAATTCAGGCCTCTTGTCCTAGGAGTCAAGGTGATTTTGTCCTGGGGCCTTATGAATCCTGACTCTGATACCAGCTAGGTCTGTCACAGCCATGGCTGTGATCAGTCACAGGGAGGAAAACAGCCCAATGTCAAATAGTGATAATAGTGAGGTTGTTTTTCCTTCTTGTGAAGTACACGTTTTCTCATTTTCTTCTCTTTGATATAGGAGTTTGTTCTTACACAATTCTCATGAACACTGAGGCTTGATCTCTCTTCATTTAAGACACACATACATTTGATGTCAGTCTTTGTGAGTATGTAGGTGCGTGGTATAGTTGTGTGCTTATTCATGTGGGTGCACGTGGACGCTAGAGGTTGACAAGAAAATGCTTTCTTCACACACCTTTCACCTTAGGGTCTCTCGCTGGACCTGGAACTCACTATTTCAGTTAAACTGGCTAGCCAGTGCATCCCTGGGTGCTGTCTGTCTCCATTCCCTCACCAAGGGGGTTAAAAACATGGCCAGCTTTTATATGGGTGTTGGGGAACTGAACTCACTCAGGTCCTCATGCCTGCACAACAAACATTAAGTCTGCTGAGTCATCTCTCCAATCTGAGACCAGTTTAACTCTTTCAATCCAATCTTTAACGGATAGAGCAGTTTGCTCTTAGGGTTTTAGGACTTAATCCCTCAGGGTCATAAAGTAACTACTATCTTCCTTCTAACACTTTTGGCCTTCTGTACTTTGATTCTCAACAAGGGCAAATGGCAAGACATTAAATTTAAACATTCCTTGAAGTAAAATGGGTACCACTTGGAATTGCTGAACTCTATTCCTCAGCTATCCCTTCTCAATTAATTAATTTTAGACAGGATATTGTTACTTAACTGAGGCTGGCCTAGTGCTTACTATGTAGCACAAGTCTAAATCCTTCAGCACCAGCTGCAGCAACCTATATAGAGGCTGAGGCATGTAGCCCAACACACATGCACACATGACCACTACTATACTTCCCAGGCTTCCATGCTGTAAGCAGACATTTAGAAACTAGCAGAGCCCATGAATGAACAGAAGAAATCTGCCCAATCAGTGAGAAGTATACCTACAATTTTCCTTTCTAAAAGCCTATTGAGCTTTTTTAAAAACAAAACAAAACAAAACCATGCTGCATCAGGAGAAAGCCTAATTTGGACTATTCAAGGACCATAGTTAAAAACAGAAATTATTACCACTGGGTTGAGTGGCTGCCACTGGTAAATTACAAGTTCTATATATGTGTGTTATTTACTTTTCAGTAGAGCCCAGAAACATCAAAATTGTTTTCAGTATTTTTTTTATTAAATGAGGTCATTAATCCTAGAAAACTACCAGACTTAGTAATTTTTAAAACATTTGATATATTCCCCATCAAGGTAAGTAGTAATTTATTTCCAGCAGGGTTTTTAGAAATCCACACTTGAATGCAAGTTTAAAACCTCAGATGACTTGAAAGTAGTAAAGCTAGCCATTTGACATGGGATCAAGCCACCCCTGAGGAACAAAGGGGCCCAGCTGGTTCTTTGCCATTTTCATCCTTGAAGTTAAGGGGTTCTCTCACAGTTTCCTAGGATGCTGCTGCTTAATGATGGCTTCTGTGATGACAAAAGCACAACATTCTGCCATCTTAGCTTCTAAGAGGCACAAAGAACACTGCACAAAAAGATGCTGATTCTTTGAAAGGAAAATCAAAAGGCAGGTTTGCTTTGATCTTCTTTATGTGACCACCTTTTGTTAGGGGCACATGAGAGGAACAGTACTACACTAGAAGTGGCAAAGCCATCAGCCAAGAAGTACCAGAGCCCTGCAGGGCCTTTTATAACATTTCTATAAATCTTCATTACCCATTAGGCACTTCACTGCCAACAGAGTGCATTTCCCCTGCTCTACCAGGATTGAAATGTAACCTCTAAGATTCATCTGTATGGCTATGAGGTATATGCTAAGCTTTCTTTAACCCTTCCTTAAACCCTAAGTTTCACTAGGTTACTTGGGAACATTATCAAATGTCGAATTAAACTTTAACCTAAGAGCACATTAGAATGCTTCTCACCCTCTTGCTCATGATTCTCATTGGTAACACCTTACAGACACAGGACTTACAGACAGTCCAGGCCACAGCAGAGCAGCGGAGGCTTGTTGAGAAGAAGCACTTTCTCTGAGCATGGGAGATTCGGGAATAATAGAATTCGTGTTA